ATTGCTACAATAAAAATTTAAAAAGATATGTGCATACATATAGGCACATGTAGCAAATATATATATATATATATGTTTGTGTGTGTGTATTTCATATATATGAAAATATAGCAAAATTATAGGAATTAACATAGTTTGGAATCAGGATGTTATTTTCATTTAGGAGTTCAAATTCTAATCCTCCTTCCATTCTTACCCAACATCATCTATAACAAAAATAATAAACAGCTGATTCATGATTTTAGAGCAGTAATATTTCTACCCTATGTCTAAGTTTCCTTACTGGTGAAATGGCTGTAACATCTGGCACGTGTATATATAAAGTTTAAGGCTCAAGATATACATAGATAGATATATACACATGCAAAAATCTATAAAGACGCAAGTTAGTTTTATAAGGTTGTTTCACGTGTAATATAGACACACATAGAATCCTAGAACAAAATAGTTAAGTATTCTTCTCATTCTGTGTCCCCAAAGGATGATGATTTGTTCAAATCTAAAGGTAATTTATTGGGGGGGCGGGGGGTGTTGAGGCCAGCCTGGGCAACTTAATGAGACCTGTCTCTAAGTAAAAACTAAAAAGGGTTGGGGATGTAACAATTATATACCTCCTCTGGGTTAAATTCCCACTACAAGAGAGGAGGTGGGGAGAGAAAGAGAGAAAGAAAGAACTTCATTTTTTTTTTCCTATTATGACCAACATTCTATCTAAAGGCCACTAGAATCATGAATGAAGGAATGTACCTGTTTAAAAAGCCACATTCCTTTCTAAGTTCACTTAAACTTAAGAGGAAGAGTTTGCATTTGTTTTGTGCTTAACCAACTCATCCAGTACCTGATAAAGGGCAAAGAGACAGATTTGGATCCTGGCCAATAATCAGTACTATATCATAAAAACCCAGTCAGCAAGGGACCAAAAACTGCATTTAAATCTGTCTTAGATGAAAGTGGATATAAACTTGCATCCTAGTTGTAATATTTGTAACCATATTTTCTAAAATATTAAAGGAGCTTGGGAAGCAGGAATACTGTCCAGCATCCTATAAAACCTATATCTGAATCTTTGTATCTCATTGATGTCACATACATTCTTTTTTAATTTATTTTTTAATTAGTTATACATGATAGCAGAATGCATTTATGTACTTCAATATATCATACATAGATAGGATATAATTTCTCTTTTTTCTGAGTGTACATGTTGCAAAATAACATTGGCCATGCAGTCATATATATATAAAATAATAATGTCTGCTTCATTCTACTATCCTTCCTATCCCCACACTCCCTTACCCTCCCCTCCCTTCACTTCCCTCTATCTAATCTAAGGTAACGCTATTATTCTTTAGTGCCCCTCCTTTTGGTAAATTAGCCTCTGCATATTAGAGAAAACATTAGACCTTTGGTTTTTGGGGATTAGCTTATTTTGCTTAGCATGATATTCTCCAGCTCCATTCATTTACTGGCAAATGCCATAATTTTGTTCATCTTTAAAACTTAGTGATATTTCATTGAATATATACACTACATTTTCTTTATCCATTCATCTATTGAAGAACACCTAGGTTATTAGCTATTGTGAATTGAGCTGCTATAAAAATTGACATGGCTGAATTACTGTTGTATGCTGATTTTAAATCCTTTAGATATAAACTGAAGATTGGGATAGCTGGGTCAAATGGTGGTTCCATTCTAAGTTTTCTGAGGTGCTGAAATCCTCACCATGTCTGCCTAGGATCTGACTTAATAAGATCCGAAAAGCACAAGAAGTAAAATCAAGAATAAATAAATGGGATGGATTCAAATTAAAAAGCTTCTTCTCAGCAAAGGAAACAATAATGTGAGGAAAGAGCCTACAGATTGGGAAAAAATCTTTACCACATGCACCTTCAATAAAGCATTAATTACTAGGATTATAAAGAACTCAAAAAACTTAACACCAAAAAACAAATAACCCAATCAATAAATGGGCTAAGGAACTGAACAGACACTTCACAGAAGAAACACAGATGGTCAACAGATACATGAAAAAAATGTTCAACATCTCTAGCAATTAGAGAAATACAAATCAAAACTACACTAAGATTTCAACCCACTTCTGTCAGAATAACAATCATCAAGAATACAGGCAACAATAAATATTGGTGAGGATGTGAGAAAAACAGTTCATTCATACATTGCTGGTGAGACTGCAAATTGGTGCAACCATTGTGAAAAGCAGTATGGAGATTCCTCAGAAAACTTAGAATGTATGCAATTTGCCAGAATTTTATTGAGAAATTTTTGCATCTATGTTCATCAGAGATATTGGTCTGAAGTTTCTTTCCTTGATGTGTCTTTGTCTGGTTTTGATATCAGGGTGATATTAGCCTCATAGAATGAGTTTGGAAGGGTTCCCTCCTTTTCTATTTCATGGAATACTTTGAGGACTATTTGTGTTAATTCTTCTTTGAAAGTCTTGTAGAACTCAGCTGAGAATTCAGCTGGTCCTGGGCTTTTCTTGGTTGGTAAGCTTTTGCTGTCATTTTCTATTTATTACTTGAAATTGATCTGTTTAAATTGTATATGACCTCCTCATCTAGTTTGCATGGGTCATATGTCTAGACATTTGTTAATGTCTTTGATATTTTCTATTTTATTAGAGTATAACTTTTCAAACTAGTTTCTAATTATCTTATGTATTTCAGATGTGTCCATTGTGATATTTCTTTCTTCATCTTATATTTTAGTAATCTGAGTTTTTTCTTTTTCTCTTCATTAGCATGGCCAGGGGTTTATCTATTTTATTAATTTTTTCGAAGAACAAACTTTTTGTTGTGTCATTTTTTCAATTGTTTCTTTTGTTTTGATTTCATTGATTTCAGCTCTGATTTTAATTATTTACTGTCTTCTACTGCTTTTGGTGTTGATTTGTTCTTCTTTTTCTAGAACTTTAAGATGTAGTGTTAGGTCATTTTTGACTTTTTATAATTTTAATGAATGCACTCAATGCAATAAACTTTCCTCTTAGTACTACCTTCATAGTGTTCCACAGATTGTGATATGCTGTATCAGTGTTCTCATTTACCTCTAAGAAATTTTTTATTTCATCCTTTATTTCTCTACTATCCATTTATCATTCAACAATGTGTCGTTTAGTCTTCATTTGTTGGAGTAACTTCTAATTTTTATTCTATCATGGATTTCTAATTTCATTCCATTGTGATCTGATAGAATGCAGGGTATTATCTGTTTTTGTTTGTTTATTTTGCATTTATAAATAGTTGTTTTGTGGCATAAGATATGGTCTATTTTAGAGAAGGAGCCATATGCTGATGAGAAGAAAGTATATTCGCTCATTAATGGATGAAATATTTTATATATATCTGTTAAGTCTAAATTATTGATTTTATTATTTAGTTTTTGCTTGGAAGATCTGTCCAGTAGTGAGAGAGGCATGTTAAAGTTACCCGTATTATTGTGTTGTGATCTATTTGATTCTTGAAATTGAGAAGGGTCTGTTTGATGTACATAGATGCTCCATTATTTGGAGCATAAATATTTATAATTGTTATGTCCTAATGATATATACTTCCCTTAAGAAGTATGAAATGTCCTTCTTTGTCTCTTCTGGTTAACTTTAGCTTGAAGTCTACTTTATCTGAGATGAGGATGGAAACCCCTGCTTGTTTACACAATCCATAGGAGAGCTATTAGGTTTAAAGCTATGTATTGTTTATACTGGGTGCTGTTGATATTGGTCTCACCATTAAAGGCAAGGTCCTGGAAACCTTCAGGGACACTATAGGTCTACAGGGTAGAATTTGGGCTGTGTTAGATCCATACTACTAGATGGGAAAACAACATGAAAAAACAAGGGAATAAAGCACCTCAAACAAATAAAGATGCTCCAATGACAGAATCCACTGATAACACAGTAGAAAAATGTTCAAGAAGGAGTTTATAATGTACATAGTTCAATTGATCTGTGAAGTAAAGGATAGTATAAGGAGTGAAGTCAAAGAAAAAATACAGAAAGTGAAAGATAACCTCAATAAAGAGTTAGACATCATGAAAAAAAAAAAACAAGAAGAAATCCTTGAAATGAAGGAATCATTAAACCAAGTTATAAATTCAATGGAAAGCATCACCAACAATCTAGACCACTTGGAAGACAGAATCTCAGGCAATGAAGACAAAATATATAATCTTGAAAGTCTAATTGACCATTCAGAGAAGATGGTAAGAAACCATGAACAGAACATCCAAGAATTATAGGATAACATGAAAATACCAAATTTAAGCGTTATCGGAATAGATAAAGGAGCAGAGATACAAACCAAAGGGATGCACAATCTTTTCAATGATATAATAGCAGAAAATTTTCCAAACTTAAAGAATGGAATGGAAAATCAAATACAAGAGGCTTACAGGACCCCAAATGTACAAAATTACAGCAGGCCCACACCAAGACACATTATAATGAGAATGACTAACACAGAGAGTAAAGATAAAATCTTAAAGGCCGTGAGAGAAAAAAAATCAAATTACATATAGGAGGAAACCAATTTGGATCTCAACTGATTTCTCAACCCAGACCCTCAAAGATAGGAGGTCCTGGAATAATATACTTCAAGCTCTGAAAGAAAATGGGTGTCAACCAAGAATTTTACATCTAGCAAAACTAATTTTCAGATTTGCAGATGAAATTAAAACTATCCATGATAAAAGTTTTAAAAATTTACAACCAGAAAGCCTATCTACAGAACATTCTCAACAAAATATTTTATGAGGATAAAGTGAATATCAGCAAAGGGAGGATCTACACTAAAGGAATATTCAACCAAAGGAGAAACTAAGTCAAATTAAAAACAGAAATAAACCCAAATGAAAGGGAATAAAAATCATATCTCAATAATATCCTTGAATGTTAACAGCCTAAACTCATCAATTGAGAGACATAGACTGGCCAATTAGATTAAAAAGACCCAACAATATGCTATCTTCAAGAGACTTACCTCATGGGTAAAAGACATCCATAGGCTGAAGGTGAAAAGATGAGAAAAAACATATCACTCATATGGATTGTATAAACAAGCAGGGGTTTCCATCCTCATCTCAGATAATAATGTCATATATATTCTTAAGCAGATAAAGTTACTCTAGCTCCTAAGTCCTGGAATACCTATTAAGGGATAAAAGAAAACTGCTCCAGATGCCACCATTTAGGTGGATTGTAAGTTAGTAGATGATTCTTATTTCTAGAATGTTCCCTACACAAGCCCACAGGCAAAAAACTCCTGGAATCATACACAGATATTTTAAGTTGGGTTCACATAGGATGAAATGTCCAGACTTGTCGAGCACCTGGCTGAGTTTGCACATGTCCTTCATTAAGTATATGGATCAGCCTGAAGGAAAGTCAGCTCTGCTTGTGTAATTTAGTGTGTTTATATCTTTCTGTTTCACAAAGGGGTTGCTTGTTGTCTAACTCTGACTGTTCACACAAATGGAGGATAAATGTAATCCTCTCAAACTCATGCACCTAGCCGAAACAGAAAATAAAATTGGAATATATGAATGTAGAATATAATTTCCTATAATTTTTTTCAGTTAACCTCAGGTTATTCTTTTTTTTTAAGGTGGGCACAATATCTTTATTTTACATTTATGTGGTGCTGAGGACTGAACCCAGTGCCTCGTGCATGCTAGGCAAGCACTCTACCACTGAGCCACAACCCTAGCCCAGGTTATTCTTTTGACAAGGTTCATAAAGATGATTTAAAGATGTATATTCATAAAGTTATCAACATATTGGAAAGATACTGGTGCATTCACTAGTCATATTTATGTTGTACTTTTCTTCAAGGTTTACAAAATATCTTGAAATATTATAATACTAATAATGTTCATTAAAGAAACTTTTTTAAAAAATCATACCCAATCATGCTAACATTTTAGAACTTTTTCTTTTCGGAATCTTTTTTCCTGGGTTCATTTTTCATTATTTTCCAACACATTATAGGTATCTACTTTATTATATGTTTTTCTCATAGGCATTCCCTACACATTTTCCATATATATTAATTTATTTCCACACTATTTCATTTAATGAAAAACTATGTTAGACACATAACAGACTAAATGCTGAAGATGAGATATAGTTGTCATGTTCATGGAGAACATGCTGCAGAAGTTAGAGACTTTTGCATTAGAACTTGTTATACAGTCTGATAAGTACTAGGGTAGGAAAGTATATTATGGGAGCAGATAGACGCTTCAAGGCTTCCTGGTAGGAACTGAAGGACCATACACAAGCTATTATGTTAGGAAACTGAATAAACATAGTGTAAATATGTCATAACACTTATATTAAGGGAAGAGATGAACAGAAGTGGCTGGAAAAGTAAATCATTCCTACATTGATCCTGAAAATATTTATTGAGCATCTACTTGGTGCCAGGCACCCACAGTACATTGATGGACACAGAAGCAGCACAGTTCCTTCAATCATCAATCCATGAGAGTTAGAAAATCTGGTGGGGTGGGATATTATAATAAAAGAGCAAATGACTTTGCCTAAATATTCAGTAAAGTCCCAAATCCAGTTTAAAGGGTAAGTAAATATCTCACAGATTCACTGGAAAATAAGCCTTAAATGTTGAGCCTGACTAATCCAGATAATGGGGGTATAAGGAATGAGGAATCAGAAGGAGAATACAATGTGGAAGGTCTTCTAGAACTTATTAAAGAGTTTAGTTTTAATTATAAGAGTTTGGTGATTGTTAATCTGCAATCTGTATACATGGTAAAAATGGGAGTTCATAACCCACTTGAATCAAATGTATGAAATATGATATGTCGAGAGCATTGTAATGTTTTGAACAACCAATAAAAAATAGTAATAAAATAAAATAAGAGTTTGGTGGTATAAGTCAAGGAGTCACCTTGTCAAATATTTATTTGGAAAAGATCTGTGATAAAAAGATTGGATCACAGGAGCAAGACCACAGGCAGGGAAATGGGGGAGGAGAGATGGTGTCATTGCTCCAGATGAAGAAAGTTGGCAGTGTGAACTGCAGCTGTGCTGTGGGCTGGTCAGATTTAAGAGATATCTAGAATAAAGTTCAATAGAACTTATACCTGATAGCACACAGAGAGAAATAAATAAAATGTAAGGGTAGTACTCACCCTAGTTAAAATAATGGCTCAGACAAATGATTGGGCCATTCCAGAGGAGTAACAAAAGTAACAAACTGGTTTAAAGAAGAAGAAGTTGAGTTCAATGGAAAACATTGAATTTATAGTGTTTTTGTGACATTAAGGTGAAGTTTTCCAGTGTGATGATATACTTATTAAAAATAGGCTTAATATGGGAAAGCTTAATACTGAATTCTATTGCATTTCCAGAAAAAAAAAAATACTGTCCTTTTTCCTTTAACACAGGGAAGGAAATTTTGGCTAAGCAAGATTACAATCTTGGCACACCATACTTTGATTTTTCTAAGGAGCAGAGGCCCCAAGATCTTTGGAGAGGTACATATCCAGATTCCTAAATAATTGCTCAAATGGGCTTGAGACAAACACTTCAGGTCATGTAGATAGGAGGCATGCTTCTCTGTAACCTGCACCTGGATTGCTGAGCAATCAAGTATGGTTTGAACTCTAGTCACCTTACCCCATCAGCCCTACTGTACCCTACCAGAGGCTCTGGAAAGGAAGGAAGTGTGGATTAGTCTTTCCTTGCTCTCCTGGTTCCCAAGTCTGTACATGTCTGTGTCATCCATGAGTATCCAAGTACTGTATTGACCTTTTAGGTTTATTATTACTTTTCATTAAGCAGCAGTGATTGGCATTTATGAAAATATGAGTCAAGAGTGAGGAATCTTTTTTTAAGTCCATTTTTTTTAACTTTTATTTTATTTGCTTATCTTTATGTGGTGCCAGGGATCAAAACCAGTGCCTCACACATGCTAGGCAAGTGCTCTACCACAGAGCCACAACCCTAGCCCCAAGAATGAGGAATCGTATGCTGCCAAGTCCACCTAGCTTTAACATATGTGACTCAAAATTATTTCCAAAAAAAGGAGAGTGATAGAAACATTCCAAATTCTATCATATTACCCATTGCAAAATATCTATTGAATCCAAAATATGATTACTTGTGAAAATTTTAAATGTTCTGTTTCACAATTATACTCTTCAGTTAAAGTATGGCTAATGTCAAAATAATTATTAAGGTACCTAACATTTTAACCACAATAAATGACACACTATACTTAATTCCACATACATTATTTGGACAGTTTACATGCATAGTTCAAAATTAAACACACAAAATCAATATGAAGTGGTCAATAATCATTGACTTAAAATATAGCAGCAGCTTATGAAACAATCTAATCATTTCAGAGACCAAAGAAATATTTTCTTTAAAATTAAAATAACTCCAAGGCTATAGATTCTTTGAAATTTAATGAGGCCTTAAAATTAATTGATTATTCCAAAAATGCTTTATTTGTGACACCAAAATATAAAGCTTTTAAAAGTTTTTAATTGAAAACATATACATATATATATGTGCTTATATGTGTGTATTAAATTTCACACATGATCTTAAATTTAAAAAATAAAAAATATTTCTTCTTGGTATAATTAATTTAATTTTTCATATATATCTGAAAGCTGAGAAAACAAATGTATTATAGATAGGATAATCCTTTTGTTGTTTATTTACATCCTACATAAATGTTATTATAAAAGAATCATATAACATGAAAATCACTTTCCACTAATATAAAATTCTGACTCTCTTTAGGTCGTCCTTTTATCCAACATGGCCTCTTTCCCCCCCACTTTTTTAACTAGTATTAGAAATTTATTTCATATAGTCATTAACTACCAAGGAATGATTTTAACATTAGCCAGTTTTTTTTAACTGCACATATTGACTACAAGCACAATTGACACAATCCTTTTATTTAATTTTTAAACAATTAAGTAAGATTCAAAATATATGAAAATATGTGTGTGTATGTGTGTGTGTGTATATATAAACAGCAAACCCCTATGTACTCAATAATTTACTTAAGCATGTAATTCCAAAGTACCTGAAAGCATATGGTTTTACCTCATAAACATTTTTTTGCATTTAAAATTTTTTAATGTAGGGAAAAAATAGCACCATCATCCTGCACATGAAACAGTGCCTCTAAGTTTAAGAAAACAAGCCCCAAGATTGGACTACATCTAAATGCAACATTGCTTTGTAATAAAAACCCTAGTCAGAGTTTGTTTGAAGAGAAAAAGATATGAAGACATTTAGCATGTCTTATCTTAAGGCAAAATATTTTTTAAAAACACTCATCACAATATAAAATTGTTTTGCTACAGATTAAAATGTTATGAATATTTCATAAATTTCTACACTTTATGTCCTAAGTTTTTTAGTACCTGAGGCTATTTATTTAAAATATAAAATAAATAAATATCATGGTTTCTATCTAGAATAATTTGGTTCATTTTGATAATACTTTCTCTCCTAATTAACAATTATATATGCTATTATATACAATTTATGTATGTTTCTTTTTAAAAGTAATTTCCTATTTTTAAAAGTTTTTTATTTCAAAGTAGGTCCTTGTCATTTCTTAAAGGTAATATTGAATAAAGACATCATGTTGGGATTAGTGTAACACAGACATAGAAAAATCTATTTTCATTTAGCTTTACTATGAGATGAAACACAGCAAAATAAAGCAGGCTTTTACCCATAGAACCTTCAACATATGCCTCCTGAAAACTCTGCCTGCAAGTTTCTTCCCACTGTTTCATCTGCCCATAACCTCTCTCTTTATTCTGTCCATGTTTATTGCCACAGAAGGGTTTCTCCTTATTTCCATGAGAGATTCTTCTTCCATGCCCTTGTCGTTTATCAGTAAGACAAGAGAGCTAAGTAAATTTAGATTTTACATTCCCTTACTTCACACTCAAGGAAAGAAAAATGTAGAGTTTTAATGGCTTACCTAAGTAACCAGCCTCTCTTTTCTAATCTCTGCATCCAATCCTAGTTTCACTGTACCAACTCTGTACCTTTAAAGATAGCATGTCTTCCTAACCTCACCTTCATTCGAAAGGTTAATAAAAGCACACAAATAATTTCTCAGAAATTTTTGTAGCCCTTTTTCCGCTTAAAGTTAAAAACAATCAAATTATCAACTAAT